TATAATTTCCGAACATATTCTTGAGGAAGACTACTGAAAAGCTTAATACTGCACGCTTCGATCTCTTCCCAAGACCATACCGGCATGTACCGAATAGTTGTTCCAAGCTTATCAAAGCTACTGTAGTGGCGTTTCTGGGGCGAACAGATAAGAATTGTCTTGGCAACATATTCCATTGGTTCCCTACCATCCACGATATACCAAACTTCTTCATGTCCCAAGTAATCTTTGAATGTGTGAATATTATCTACGATCTGACTGAAACTCCCTCCTCACTGAAGAGAATCGGAGACTTGTTAAGTTTGTGATATACAACTGTTTTACGTTGTTGTGAAAGAAGATAAAGTAGATAATAACCAAAGAAGGTTTTCCCAATTTCCGGATTGCCAGTAATATGCCAACGACAGATATTTTCATTCTCAAAAATAATATTACTCAGGTGATGATAACATTCACAGATAAACAGAGTGGATATATCAGAACCTTGCTTATCTTTGCCTAGAAGATAGTAAACATCCCCAGATAATTCAAGGAACTGGCTACCATTATGCTCCTCAACTTTTCCACCCTTCAAAGCATTCCAAAACCTTGGCAGTTTTTCATCATCATTACCGTATTTTCTTCGTTTACCAGGGGATTCTATATATCAGAAAATTATTAACGTAACGAGAATGAAGCAACAGCTATCGAAAATCAAGCCAAGACGTGTTCATTCCATCGACTAAATTTATTACGACTCACTTACCCTCTATGATAACGCGAATGTGTTTTTTGGGCGGGTTTAACGATAAGAAGCAGGAAAGAAAAGCACAATAATAAGTAAGTATTCAGTATTATTGGCAAGTATGACAGTTAGAAACGCACCAGAAACAGACTTCTTTGATAGCCCTTTCAAATATACAAGCTTAGCGTTATTTGTCTTGCAGAGATTAAGTAATTTTTCCACATCAGCTAATTTAGTACCCTTGTCAGTGAGATATACGTATAAATTGGCCTCCTCATCCTCACTTAATTTATTAGGCTTTTCAGAGAGACCTTGAACAGTATTAATAATATTATCAAGCGACATGTTGTTTAACTATATATGATTTTTGCGTAGTTCCACAAGTAAAGAAAAAAATTTTATATATATAGTATCTGATTTGTTAATCACCCCGAAAATCTGATCTTACCGGTCTGTGCGATGCTAGAATTACACATTACTGTATTCACTGCGATAATGCTACTCAACTTGTCAGAGGTAGTCGCATCGGGGTTATCCCTCATACAATTATATATAAAAAAATGCTTATCGTGACTACATCGCACCTATATTGCACCTTCATCGCACCATATCTCGAGATTTGCTTATCTCGGAATTCATTATAACGAAACTAGAATGGGAAATGAAATTCATGGAGAAATTGGGTTACACAAAAAATGTGTCTTAATATACGCAGATTGAACGATCTGATTTTCTATATGTTTCACCGGTACTTAAATCGTAATAATATCCTTCATCATCGTCAGAGAAACCACAATATTCCCCATCATCATCTTCCTCTTCGTTGTTATCGGAGAATTCGTCATCATTTTCATTATCCCTAGTTGCGTTAGCATCCTCACTTCGGGAGTCATCATCAAAGAAATTCTCAACTGGAAGCTGATTCACGTCAATATCGCCATTATTATTAG